GCCAGGACAGAAAGAGGAGTGATAGTTGTAACCGTTTTCGGCAGAACGTTTGTCGACGGATTGATTTCACCTGTCTCTTTAACGAGTTCGTAGCTTGGTGCAGAGAATGGCAAAACTCACTGATGATGCCGGCGAAACGTTCGAGTAACAAGTCGGATTCTGGGAATTATGACAACTAATATGAAGGACGACTTCGGGCTAAGTGTGTTCTACTAAGTCCCCCTGACAACACGACCAAGTTGCGACAACAAGTTTAACCCACTTCCTTTTTGTGGATTCCTTTTCCATACCCTCGTGTATTCGCAGAAAACTTACTTTCGCTTTTACTTAAAAAGGGTTCAGAGCCTAAAATAAGGCTAAGGAATTCAGCCTGCTGGGAGGAGAGACTCAAAGCCGCTGAGTCTAGGCCAGAAGTTGGAAACGAGCCCATGCCTTTTGAACGCATAGAAAGAGTAGTTTGCATGGTTGGCTTCACTGGGGGAGATAGACAGGGTTCTCTTGAGATTGATGTTGTCATTTTGGTGTCCAAAGTACTGACAGAATGAACTGTTGGCGAGGATATGTTCGAAGAAAAGGTCGGGGAAATACGCGGATGTAGTGAGGATAAAGAGGAGGATGGGAAGGTTGGAAGAAATGTAGACGGGGAGTTAGGATAAGATGAGAATGGGGACAGTGGCGAGGTGTTGATGGAATAAGAGTGCAGATGGGATAACGAAGGAAAGACGATATTAGTATGTTTGTTTGCTGTCACTGGAACTTCTTTAGGCAGAAGGTGAGACTGCGAAAGATCGGAAATCATCTCAGACGAAGTGAGGGCCACTGGAGCAGGGTAGAGGCTATGATGGTGACTACAAGAGGGCACGGAAGTACAAGGTTCTGTCTGCAACTGGTTTGGAGGTGGGGATAGCATGTGGTGCCGCTTGTGCTGCGACTTTTCAAAAGTCGAGTGAGCAAGGTTCGAGCAGCTCTGAAAGGGATACCAACTGGCCATTGACTGTTGTTTATGTCCCACCACTGGCGAAGGCCCAAGCAGCTGTCCTCTCAAACCAGCTAGTGGTCCCGGCTCAAGGGGCCCCAATGAGCCTGAATGTGTTATTGTTGGGGATATGGTTGAACCATGCGCCTGTGCTAGTTCGGATCTGCGATCAACATTAACTGGGTTGCTGGGATAGACGCTGTTGTATCGATGGGCCACAGGAGCATAAGGGAATGCCGGTGAAGTAGAAGGGGGCGCTAAATTTAAGGGTATATTACTCCGCGGTCGTGACGGTAAGAGGGTTTCGGCCAGGCTTGATGAAGAAGAATCCAGTTGTTGCGAGAAAGAGGTACCAAATAATCCTGGCTGTAGCGGAAGTGACTTGGAGATAATGGGAGTTACTGGCGTCGTCGGCAGCTTTGATTGTGATATGGAGAAGGCTGACGGCGATTGTGGCAATTGCAATGTCGGACACATCTGAGAGTGTCCGGTGATCCTTGGAAGAGCAGCCCCTGTAGTTGAGGGTAGCATGCCGTCTTGGCCACCAGAATAGCATGGACCGGCAATCCGGGGAAACCGAGGAAAAGAGGGAGGTACCGCAAAACCAGCAGCTGCGGTAGCCGCAGCAACAGCGGCGGCTGCGGCAGCGCACATGGCGGCGGGCGAATGAAAGATGGCGGAGGCGGAGCCGGGTGAAGCGAAGAAAGGCCCGTAGACGGAGGGGAACGATGGTATCCGGCCTTGCTGTACAGCTGAGAAAAAGGGAAATTTGTGAAATAGAGGATGAAAAATCGAAATAGGCACATTTTTCAACCATTTAAAAGTATTTTTCGAATTAAGTATCGTTTTCGTGGCTACCAGTAAATCGGTAATATGATCTGTATTCACTCAATTTCGTTTAAGGTGATGAAGGACTGGTAGAAGAAGAATTTTCCCACAATGATATGAGTTGAGCTGACGTTTCCCAAAAGTTGTTCTCATCCAGGCACCAGTGGACTGCAGGCAAAAAGGCCTAGTCTTACTTGAAAAATCACATTTTCTCTGTGACCCAAAAAGCGCTCGTGGTAGTGTAGCCGAGTGGTTAGTGTGTCAAGTTCCCATCCTGCACTGTCGTGGTTCGACTTCCACTGAGGGTGTTGATTAGACCGATGGGAGGTTTAAACTCCAGTCCACTTTGGATGGAAAACAACTTTTGGGAAAGCAAGGCTATGTGAAATTCAATGGAAACGTCAACTCAACTCATATCATTGTGTGAAATTCTTCTTCTACCAGTCTTTCATCATCTTAAACGAAATTGGGTGAATACATCCCGCATTGAAAAGTAGTAAAGTTATATTTGTTGAGCTCACTTACATTTAGAGTAAAAGTGTTTCATGAAGGGATTCGAATGTCGATTCCATCAGGAAATGACGGCGGATTCTTCTTGACCAGCCGTCGAGTGGCTTTACTGGAATATTCATGCTGACACTGCTTCCGACTTCTGTGAAAAGCTGCTAAGCTTTCGTCCGTCATATGACGAACATCATCAGAGTAATGTATCATCGTCACAACCAAATGGAAACTAACGAGTCAAGAAAACTCACGGGCTTCAATTTGGTTGTGACGTGGATACC